TGACCTGGAACTTTTGCTCCTCTTACCTTGGCCTTGTGCGTAGCTGGGATTACAGTTGTATGCTACCGTGTTTGGCAGTCCCAAATGTCTATTTCCGAACTTCTTAGAATCTAAGGCCTCTCTCTGTGTTGCCTCTTCCTCCTGATGCTGCTTAGCCACTGAAGTCATGAGTTCCGTGACCCGAGCTGGTCATCCAGGCAGATCCAGGTGGCTTGCGGTAGTGTGGTGGGACCCAAACCAGATGTCACGTGTCTTTCCACTGGGACCCACTGTCCTTATATCTTTCAGGGCTCTTCTATTGACTTTGAGCATTCCACTGGCTAAGTTCAGGCTAGAAAACAGACTCGCCTCTCATTCTTTTTCTTGCTCCTTTAAATGTGTTCTTTCTCAGACATTTACTGAGAATCTTATGGGGCTTGGCCTGAGGTTAGATGCGAGGGATACCAAGATGGAGGCTGCATGGTCCCTGCCCTCCCGGAGCTTACAGTCTAGAGAAGGAAGTTCCCAGACACCAGGAACAATGACACAAGGTAGTAATAGAGGAAAAGAGAGGGGTGCCAGATGCATAGGAGACCCAAGGAGGAGTTCATAATTGCTTCTCCACAATCACCCAACAAATAGGTCCTTTTTTTTTTTTTTTACTTTGGGGGCAGTACTGGGACTTGAACTCAGGACCTTGTGCTTGCTAGGCCGTTGCTCCACCATTTGAGCAACACCCTCTTTTTTTGATGCTGGAATGATACCCAGCAAGTGTTCTACCACTGAGCCGCATCCCTGGCCCTGGTAGTATTTTTTTATCTTGATTTTCCAGATGAAATTACAACATAGAAAAGACAAGCCACTTGCCCAAGGCTGTGTAGCTAAGATGATGGAGCTGGGTGAGCACCAGGTGGCTGGGCTGCAGAACCTGGGCTGTCACCCAGAACTCTCACTGCCAGAGAGCTGAAGGCCGCACTGCACCTGCTCCTGGGTGGGTCACTCTCGTGTCCAGGTGGGCCTGTGAGTCTCAGGAAGGGCTGTAACCTGAGCCCCACCCATGCTCCCTCCTCAAGCCAGTCCCACCTTCTCTTTCCTTCTTTTGGATAACACGGGCCCTTTGTCACTAAGAACCCTGAGGCCCGCAGGCACAAACACTCACAAATTCCTGCCAGACCTGCCTGAGGACCTGTGGAGGTATATGTGAGTCCACCTGCACTTATGTTCCTCCAGCTCCAGGGACAGGAACTTACCTCCTGTGTTCACAGTTCACCCCTGGGCCTCTCTCTGCTACCCTGGGACATCATGGAGTGGCACCAGTCACTCCTTGTTTCATCATGCTGTCCTTCATTGCTAGGTCTTTCCTCCTCCTATCTTGAAAAACCCCCTTTTCCCCATCCTGATGACTCCTGAGCTCTGGGCCTGTTGCTCTGACTGCATGGAGCTGCACACAGTGTGAGCACTGACTTCATGCGCCTTTGTTCCTTCCTGTGTTCCTGCTTCCCCACGACACCACATGCCCACAGCCTCCCCATCCTTCTAGGACTGGCTCCAATGCCACCTCTTCTGCTGGAATAATAGCAAACCTTACATTATTTGGGCATTTGCCTTGTGCAAGGAAGGAACACATTCACAGTGTCCAGACATCTCCGCCTGATCAGGTCTCACACTGAAAGGTCCTCATCCTCCATCTTCTAGCAGGGCACCTCCACTCATCCATCCCTCAAGCCAGGAACTGGGAATCCTCCCAGCGAGTTCCCCTCCCACATAACTGACCTCGCTTCATAACTTCTCCAGTCTGAGCTGTCTCTCTGTTCCTAGTTCAGGTCTTTGAATCTGCCTGCTCCCCGTCCCCACCTTTCTACTTCATACTCTCCACAGTCAGATCATTCCAAAATGCAAGTCTGGTTATGTCGCCACGTAAGGTCCTTCATTGGTCCCAGTGTCTCCAGGATGAAATCCAAACTCCCTATGTAGCAGTCGGGGCCCTTGTGGATCTGGTCTTTCTCCACCAACTGCTTCTCTTATGGTGCCCACACAGGGATCCACGCTCTGGCTTCATCCCTACCTCATGGGAGCGTTCTGAGGATGAAATGCCCTAACAGAGGGTGAGCACTTTGCATAATTTTTGGCACAAGGCAAATGCACACATATTGTGAGTTCTGTTTATTATGTTGGCAGAGGTGTGGAGGAATCTTGGTGGGGTTCATTGAGGAGGTGGCATCAGAGCCAGTCCTGGAAGATTGGGGAGAATGTGGCCGTGTGGTGTTACAGGGAAGTAGGAGCATAAGAAGGAGCAAAGACACATGGCAGAGCGGGCTGGCAGAGTGGCTCAAGTAGTAGAGATGCTGCCTAGCAAGGTGAGGTCCTGAGTTCAAACCCCAGTGCCACCAAAAAAGAAAAGGAGGGGCATGTGGAAGTAAGTGCTCACATCTTGAGCAGCTCAGATTTGCTGGTCCCAGAGGTTATGGAAGAGAGTAGAAGAGAATCAAAAACAGAAAATGTAAAGCTGGTCTTGGTTCTGTAGACAATGGGGAGCCCTGGAAGATGCCCCAGAAGGCACTGAGCAGGTGACACTGCCTCGGCCACCACTATGTCTCCCTGAACTTTTTTTTTTGAGGCAGGGTTTCTCTATGTAGCCCAGCCTGGCCTTGAATGCAAGATCCTCCTGTGTTAGCCTCTCAAATGCTGGGATTACAGGCCTGTGCGATAACTCCTGACTTGACTCCCTGCCTCCTCTCTGATCCCCACACAACAGTCCAAGGGGGACTTTCAGAAGCCAGCATGCAATCATTTCATTCCTCTGTCCCTGGCCTTACATCCTTCACTGCTTTGGAGACAGAAATCCACCTCCTTTTGGTTCTGGCAGAGCCCTGCCAGGCCTGGTCCTGCCTGTAGCCTCCTTGACCTCCCTCTGCCAGCTCCAGCCACACTGGCCTCCATCCAGTCTCTCCTACTTCCTTCAGTCAACAACCATTTACTGAACATGTACATATTTCCCATCCAGGACATTTGTGCATGCTATTTGCACATGCCAGGAATGCTCATCTTCCTTTTGTAAAGGAATTTATTCAATTCTGCCAAGTATGGTGGTGTAAACCTTTAATCCTAGCACTTGGGAGACTGAGACCAGAGGATCATGAATTCAAGGCCAGCTCCAGGAAGCTTCCTCCTGGAAGCCTTTCTGCCTGTCCAGTTCTAAGCTCTCATAGACCATGTATCTCTCTTCTGTAACACTAGCCATGGTTGCAATTTTGCATGACTGCACAGGCATCCAGCAGGTCATAAGACCCACAGCACAGGAGCTGAGACTTTCTTGCACATTGCCACATTCTGAGGCCTTGCTCAGTGCCTGGCACAAACACCTGTGGTATGAAATGGTGGGGTGGGGAACCAGGGGCATCTTCAGGGGGTCGTTGTCATGGCTCGGGTGGAAAGAGCAGTGAGAGGAAGCTAGAGAGGGGGTAGCAATGGAACTGACTAGGAGGGGAAACAAGTGAGCAGGGTGGGGACCTGGCTTGCAGCTCAGTGGTAGAGCCCTTGCCTAACACAGAAAAAAAAAAAAAAAGGCAAAAATTAGCAAGATGATGGTAGAGGAACCATGACCTTGAGGGTGGACTCCAGGCTGTTGTCAATAACCAGTGTGTGAGACTTAGGGTGTGGTTCAAGTGCAGGGCTCTGAGTTCGAATCCCAGTACCACCAAAAAGTAAATAAATAAAATTACTGGGGTGTAGTTAAGTGGCAGGAGTCACAAAAGGCAAGTAACAGATGTCACACTGTCCTAGAAGGGTAGAGTTATTGTTGTTGGGGGGAAAGGGAGGCGTTGGTTAGAATTCTGAGAGCTGATGAGAACATGACCCTAACAGGGGAAGGTCACGTCCCAGAACCGCAACTTTTTTATTAGTGAAGTGGGGCAGCACTGCCGGCCTTGGATGATTCTGAGGCAAATGGAGGTCATTAGGTTCCATCCGTGGCAAGCTGCTGGCACAAAGTAAGGGTCATCATCATCATCATGCACAGCAGCATCATTGTTGTCCCCATCAAGGTACTTAGCCACATTTCCATGCTACACCTAGGAGCCTCTAAAAATCAGAAAATAAAACAACTGAATGGCTGACCCAAGGCCCTGAAAGCAGTTACACCTGGGTGGCTTCTGCCCCTGCCTGTCCCTAGGGGGCTGGGGCAAGTCCACAAAGCCAAGAAGAACAGAAGGATTCTAGGGTGAGGATTCTAGGGCAAGGAATCTGAGCTCACTGGCCCTTGACCACTCCAGGCAGGGGTCTGGGCTGCCCTTGCAGATGCTTGAATGTACCTCCTATCAAGGCACTCAGAACCTGCTCAGGTCCTTAAATTCCCCATCCCTACCCTCATCCATCCAATTTAACCTCATTAACTAGGTCCAAGAAAAACAGCTCATCAAGGAGTGATAGATAGGCCAGCCCTACTTCCAGGACAACCTAAGACCCTTCACTTTTCTTGTAAGATGGGGAAGGGGGCCTGATTGAACAAAGACATGGTCTTGGGTGGGAGTAGAGAGAAGGAAGACAGTGCCTTTGTTCTCTTTTGTGGCAAGAGGAAGACTCACAGAGGAAAGTAGGCAGTATCAGGCATAGAAACACCATAAGAGCTGCCTTCTGGTGCTAAAGTGGATGCAGAATTGAGCTTCAAGCTGGGACCCAGAGGGGCTTTGGCTTGTCTGCTCCTACAAGTTGGCTTAGACCGGCTTCAACCTCTCAGGCCCTGGGTCTCCACTGAACCACTTGCCACCACCACCCTGTCCCAGCACCATCTTGGCAGGAAGTGCCCTGTATTGCTTGGCTCTGCTTTCAGCTGTCCCCCATCAATGAGGGCCAGGCCTGGTGAGGGGTCCCCCTAAGAGGTGCAGGCCACCTCTCCAGGAAGAGCCTGCTGGGGTGTGGGTGGCAGTGAGGACTTGGCATGTCTGGGAGCCCATTTGGAGGCCATTGCCAGATCTGAGGGGCTGACGGACAGTCTTCCTGAGGTCTCTGCCATCTCTTTGCAGTCTCGAAGCAGCGTGCAACAGGGGGACCTGGATGGGGCCCGGAGACTGGGCCGCCTGGCCCGACTGCTCAGCATTACCTTCATCATTCTGGGGATCGTCATCATCATTGTGGCGGTCACTGTGAACTTTGCAGGTGAGACCCAGCTGCATGGAGGGGCGGGGTTGGAGGCGAGTCCATGGGCAAGAGCGGTGGGTGTGGGGAAGGGTATATTTACCTTCTCAGTCCAGGACAGTGGCCCAGGCCTCAGCAGTGATCGCCTGAATAGGGATGGATTTTCTGTGTCATCTTATGGTTGGATATACTGTATCAGTAAAAGGGTCTCAACTTTGACGGCCCTGAGACTGGGGCCAGTGTCCTGTCTGGTCAGGCCTCAGTGTTTTCATGTGTCAAGGGCCAGGAAGAAGCCTCCAGTGTAGAAATAATGGATGTGGCTCTGCTTTGTAAACAGCATGCAAACCATGCATGTAGAAAAAGTCAGGAAGCAGCACTGTAAGCACCCGAAGGTGGCCCAGTGAAGCCATCCCAGGAGGAGAACCCTTTTCAAAGGGTAAACTCTCAGCTTCTCATAAAGTCCACACAGCTTTGTGAGTCTGGGGTTATCCAGCTCAGAGCGGCTCCATGCACAGTGCATGCTGGACATGTCTGCCCATCAGTGATCAAGCTACACCTTTCATCTAAAGACCTTGCTACTCAAAAAAGTGCTCCATGGGCCTACAGCAGGAGCAACACCTGGGACTGTGACAGAATGCAGAATCTCAGCACCACCCCACTCGCACGCTGAGTAGGAATCTGCATTTTAGTAAAACTCCCAGATGGAGCATTTGTGTGGGGACATACTGGCCTAGAAAGCCTGGAATTCAGCCGTGGGACCATGGCCAACCTTGGCCACTGGGGAGAGGGAAGTATGCAGGTTTGCAATCACCCTTCCAAGTTCAGAGTCCATGTGCACACCTCAGGTCTTCCTGTAAAAATTGAAGCATGTTCTATAAGCCCCCTGAGCCTCAGTTTACTTCATTAGTGCAGGGTCCAGTGGACATACAGGTATGTGAGAGTCAGGGGCCGCTAGCCCAGGGCATTAAGCCCAGCATTACCTTACACTGCCCTGTCTCCTTTGTTCTATTGCTGCTCATCATTTTAGCAAGATTCTTTCAACAACAAGAAACAACTGAACTTGAATTGGCAAAAGGAATTTGTTAGCACTAATAAAAAATTTTCATCTCAGTTAAAGATGAATCAACTTGGGTTGTAACACATTTGTACATAGAAGCAATGCTAGGAATCTCTCTGTATAGCTATCCTTATCTCGACTAGCAAAAATGCTTTGTCTTCCTTATTATGCTTATGCCTTCTCTTCAACAAAATTAGAGATAAGGCAGAACAGGTTCTGCTTGGAAGCGAGGGAGGTGGGGGGAGAGGGAGGAAATGGGGGGCAGGGGGGAGGAATGGTCCAAACAATGTACGCACATGTGAATAAATGACTAATAAAAAATTTAAAAAATAAATTAAAAAAATAAAAATAAAAATAAAAAGTTTTCAGCATAGACTGTTCTAGTTCGGGGCAAGACTGTATCCAGGCGCTCAAGCAATGGTGTCAGGAGTCTGTCTTACTCTTGTCCAGCTTTCCAGTGTGTTGGCTTCATTGCTAGGCAGGATCCTCCATATGATGGCGAGATGACAACAAGCAGTGGCCCAGTAGTGGCACACATGTTACTCACTCCAGTAACTAAACAGGAAAAAAAAATTCCTCTTTGTCAACAGAGTAAAAGTCCCAGGACTGATTCTGATTGGCCCAGCTAGGGTCACATGCTCACCTTTGAGCCAATCAACAAGGCCATGGTCTTCTCATTGGCAGGAGTCTGGACCCTGTGTCTTATTCTTGCTACCATTTCCCACTAGGCAACAAACCAGATCCTCAAATCCAGGATGTGAAGATCCAATGTTCTAAGCTCTGTTACCATAACTGATTTTGTTTTTTTTTTTTCTTTACAGTTCAGAATAAATAAAAGTAACCAGGGAGCTATGCTAGCAGAGGCAGACACTGGCCAGCTGGAGAGCTCCAAACCCACGCACTCTATTAACCACAGGACAGGATGGTGGCTGCCATATGCCCACCTGTCTCCAAACTACAAAAGCACAAACTTGGAGGGAAACCTCAAAGCACCCCATTGTAGCACATACCAGATGGAAAAATTGGGAGGAAGGAAGGAAGGAAGGAAGGAAGGAAGGAAGGAAGGAAATAAAATATACTGTGAAATCAATAAAGAATACAGTTTAATCTCATGGACACATTCCGGCATTCTGACCCCACTGCTCTGCCTTGTTTCTCACCACCACAATTTCCTGGGACCTACCAAGCAGCATAAACTGCCAGAATGAGAAGAAAACCAGCCCCACGAATAAGACCAACTACAGGAGAGAAAGCCGCCACGCAGGCTCTTGGTGTCTGTGCACCAGGAGCAGGGCCTTCATCTTTTGTATTTTTCTTGAGGGGAGACTGCTTGTGTGCCCTGTGCCACGTGCCTGTGGTCATCCCAGCCTGAACCCGAAGGTGAAGCTGCCGCTCAGCACATGCGGTGGACATCGTGGGCACAAAGGTGGTGAGACAATAGCCACACATAAATCCTCACTGTAAGGCAGAGGTACTGCCTGTTGATGACACAAAGATTTCCCAAACTTCAGCCTGTCTGCTGAGGACTCCAGTGTGTCTCCCAGGACAACCCAATGTGCCTCTTGACACCCCCTGAGCATGCAGCCTAGGGTGCCAACCAGGAGCTCCTGTGACCTGACCCAGGCCAGGTCAGCCAGGGAGGTGGGGGGGCCTAAGCTCTCTTCTATCATGGCCTCCTCTAAGACCTGGGGAACCTATGCAGTGTGGCTCAGGTGGGGCATGGCTTCAGGTTCCCAGCCCAGCCCCATCGGATGCTCTGGGCTTGTGTCCCTGGCTGTCCATGAGCAGCACAGGCTTTCTCTGGAGGTGGCTCTGGGACCACCCCAGGGGGATGTCTATTAGGGGTGTTTGCACTGCTTGCAGAGAATTTTTATAAACATTTGCTATTTCTCTGATCAAGTCCCAAGAGAGAGGGAAGGGCTTAGCTGAAGGGTCCAGTCTTTAGGGAGTGAGGGGTCCCAAAGTCTTTGGAGAGTGAGGGCTTCTGGGAAAGACACTCATGTGCCAGGAGACAGGCGCCAGACGCTATGGCCTCTGTGTCTTAGGAGCTAGCAAGACACCTGGCAGCTGTTGAGCAGGGCCCTTTGTCTCTTTGCTACTTTTTGGCCCCAGGCTTCTCCCTCATTTTGGCACAGGCCAAAATGTGCCCACAGGGGCCTTGCCTGCCCTGTGTGTCCCTTTGGCTTCAGTTCAGACCTGAAAAGGAAGGGTCCAGGTTTCCCCACTTAGAGTTACTGCCCTCAATGTGGGGACAGGTCCCCATCCACACTGACCTGGGGTTGGGAAAATCTGATGTCCCCTGTGCCCCATCAAGACCCTTGTGCCACCTCTCCAGAGCCCTTGCCAGATACCCTACACTCTTGGAGGCTCCTGAGAGGACAAGGGCAGCCTGTGGATCCTTTCAGAGCTGGTGTTCCTAAATCAAGCCCCATTGAGAATAAATGCTAACCTTTCTCGCTCCTAAAGCAGGGACTTGTTAGGTTTGTTTATGGAGTCTCGAGGCCAAAATAGAGATGTCCCTGTTTGCTCGGGGAGGGAGGGTATGAACCCAGAGTATTCGTGTGACTTGCGAGGTCAGGCCAGGCCAAGGGAGATGTGAGGGCTGTGGGATCAGCCAAGTGCAGGATCCTGATCATGAGTGGTTATCTTCACTAGGCTCTCGAGGCTCCAGCTTCAAGACCTGGGAGGAGAGGGAAAGGCACCACATGGGTTAGATGGTCATGTGGGGAAAACAAGGCAGAGCGGGCCTCCTACTGCAGCCTCTGTGCCCTTGGAGCACAACCCATGCCCAGGCCTTCCCGCCCCGCAGCTTCCCCGCACGCCAGGCCACAGTGCATGCCCCTCTCACATACACAGACTCCTTCACACTTCAAGTGCACAACAGTTGAGGGCCGTTTAGGTGAAGCCACCAACAGACAGCCTGGAAATGGTTGGCAGGGACATTTTTTCATTTGGGCAAGAGCAACCTGAGAGCCTTCTCATGGTGCCAGGGACACAGCTCCCCAAAGGCAAAGGGGAGCACAGGGCAGGAGGAGAGACCCACCCTGGATAAGAAAAGTCTGCGGGAAGCTCCCTGCAGCCCTGAGATCTCCAGACCACGCCAAAAGTAGGAGGGACAGTGGTCTTGCTGTCTTTCTTGGGTCCAGCTGCATGAACATTAGTGGTCCCCTGGCTGGGTGGCCTCTGCCGAGACAGCAAAGACTGTCATTACCACTCACCGGTGACTCTGTATTTCTTGGCATGGAGAGAAATAAAGTTGAACTTGTGTGCTCCCCTGCCTGTACGTGTGCACTGCTGAGCTCATGGGGCCCCAAACAGCCAATGGGGGAGCAGTCCCCTCAGTCAGTTGGTCTCTGTGTCATGGGTGAGCCCTAGGGACTGTGGGCAAAATTGGGGTTCCACAGCCCACGCAAGGCATTCTTCTGGCAAGTCACTATCCAACCTGGGCCTCAGTTTCTCCCACTGTAAAGCAGGTGGGTAATGGCTGTCTGATTGTCTTACTGCATAGAGCAAAGACCTCAGGCTGGAGAGGTGAGGGCAGGAAGCTGCTCTTGCTGACTCATGGACCCCTTTCTCACACTGGTAAATGCACCATGCAGTCCTAAGGGGTTACTAGTATTGTTATCTCCAGGTTCACATGGGTAAACTGAGGCTCAGAGAGTTTCAGGGCCCTGTCTGAGGTCACACCATTCTCTCACCGAAGGTACTGAATACATGGTGGCAAATGACTTGATCCCCAGGCCTATCTGACCTCAAAGTTAGGAGAGGAGGCTGAGGCTGGGATGGGGGACGGTGGTGGGTGGGGCAGAGCCACCAGGCTGGGTGGCCAGCAGAACAGGAAGAAAGTTGCTGCCTCTGTGTGTGTGTGTGTGTGTGTGTGTGTGTGTGTGTGTGTGTGTGTGGAGTAGTGGGCAAGAGGCTGGGGAAGGAGAGGGAAGAGGTGGAACAGAGAAAGGAAGGAGGAGGGTCCCAGGACTCATGAGTCAGCAGAGCTCAGTAGATCCGGAGCTGGGTTCAAATCCTGCCTAGTTTCTTACTAGCAGAGTCCTGTTGGGGAAGCTCCTCAACCTCTCTGTGCCTCATCAAATCTGTGTCAGTATTAAATGAAATAATCCACATGAAGACACACCATCTTTGGCTGCCGACACCGGCCGACCCATTTCTCTCCATCAGGACAAAGCTGAGGCCAGAAACTCCATCAGGTTAAGAACCTGCCCAGGCCAGAGGCCTGTCCCTGCCTCTCTCCCCATCACTGGTTTGTCCGCCTCAGGTAGAGGCATGGAGGCTGGGGCCCTGCCCCCATCCTGTACTAACAGCGGGGTGTGTTTTACACTCTTCATGCAGGTGTGTGCGACAGCTAACTGCCCCTCAGTGGGCGGGAAGGGGAGGATTGGGTGACTTCCTCAAGAGACCCTGGGCCTGGGCCCCTTGCTTCCCCCTCCCCACACTCCCCTCACAAACTAGTACTCAGCCCCTACTACGAACCAGGCCTTATACTGGACCCAGGGACTCAGAGATGAAAAAGTATAGGTTTTCTGAACCACATTACCTTTGACCTAAAGGAAAGCTTTTTGGAAGGAAGGGGAGGGTTGTGGGGGGAGGGAGTAAGGGCCCTGGGTAGGTGAGGGCAGCAGAGAGTGGGGCCTGGTGTCCCAGGAGGCTGGGGGAGCCAACCAGCAGGAAGGTGGCCTCCACCAGGAGCCACCAGGAGCCCCTCGGTCATGGGCACTGTATTAATTCAGCGCGGACAAACCCAGCAGGGCAAATGCTTCCTGTGCTCTGGGTGCTGGGTTCCTTTCTTTTGGAGAATTACCTCAGTCCTCACATGCTGCCTCCTTGAGGGCTCATCCATCTTCCTGAGACCCAGTGCCGGCCTAAGGTTATAGTCAGGGATGGTGGGGAAGAGGCCAGTCCTTTGAGAAGCCAGCAGTGGGCTTCAGTAACAGAAGCCTGTCCAGGCCTTGAAGAGTCCGAGTTGCTTATCCAAAGGAAGTGGTCATTCTTTTTTTGTGGGATTTTTCTTTTTTTTTTGATGAGACTGGGGTTTGAACTCAGTGCTTTGTGCTTGCAAAGCAGGCACTCTACCACTTGAGCCATGCCTCCAGTCCAATTTGCTCTGGTTATTTTGGAGGTGTGTGGGGGGGGGGGGCGGTCTCTAGAACTATTTGCCCAGGCTGGCCTTGAACTGCAATCCTACAGATCTCTTCTCCCATGTAGCTAGGATTACAGGCATGAGCCACTGGTGGTGCTAAACTGAGGTGGCCATTCTTTGGCTGCACTGCTTGGCATGTGACAGTCACTTCAGCGTTCTGCCTCTGTGCTGCACCACAGGGATCTTTTCAAAGGCATTTTGAGCACCCCTGGGGTCTGCATTAAGATAAAATGCCACTTGGGCAATGCTACCAGCAACGTTCAGGTGGAGGGCACCTTCTACACATGCACCATCAGCAGTGACGTTCTGCTGCCCAACTTGGTGGCCTGAGAGTTTCTTTGACATCATTTGGCAAATGCAACCCAATTTCAGACATTTAAATGGGTGTTGGAGGGAGGACTTGTGTTTTGGAATCAATAAGGGAAAAGTTGGGGTTCCCAATAACTAAGGGCTGGACCGGGGCCTCCACCTTCCCATCTGTAATTAGTGACAATTTTCCCCCATGGTCCAGCGCTGTTGTGGGCCAGGGGCACTTAGGTGTCACCTCCCTCGGGCTGTCAGTCTGGTTCCTGGGGAGAGGGCCAGTCCTGCCACAGGGCCACAGAGAGGGACTTTAGGCCATACCTTCTTTGTGGGTCTTCCTTTACCCTGCCTCTGTCCTTCCTGCCCTCCTTCCTTTATTTACAATGCAAACAGAACATCTAGGAAATCTCGTGTGGTGTGCGTGCTTGAGAAGCAAAGAGGCAAGAAGGGTCTCCCAGCGGCAGAGGCCTGCATCCTACTTTTCTAATGTGTTTGCTAATGAAGTTGCAGCCTAGGGTGTGAGGGTGGGAGGCTTTGAGTGCATGTGTCCTGAAATCACAGTGGCCCTTCTGGAAGCTGCCCAGGGACAAAGGCAGGCCAGGTGGGTATCTTAGGGCTGATTGGAAGGAAACTTCTACTCACCACCAGAGTGGATACCAGGGGTTGTCCTGAGTCCCAACCCCCACCCGCCTGTGGGCCTAGAGGAGGTGGGTGGAAGAAGCCACCATGGGATGCCATGCTGTCTCCTGTACCCTTGGCCTGGGCAAGACTTTCTACTTCTGTGACCCACACAGGCACATATGGTGTCTTTGTGCCTGTCCACACGTGGCCCCCAGTCAGCAGAGGAAATACAGAAATTGCAGATCACAAAAGGCTCCCCTTCCTAGCTCCCAGCCTGGCACTCTGGGCAGCTGGGTTTCAGAAGCCCAGGAGTCCCCTGTTCATTAGCCATGCTGGGGGAGGGCTGCGGAGTCTTTCCCAGGAGCTGGCACAGAGCAGGTCAGCTGGAAGCTGGGCCTTGCCCAGTCTCCTGCCTCCTGCATTATTTATCTGCTGCCTGGCCGTGGGTGTGAATAATTCATCAGGTAGGGAAGCACCCGCTCCTCCCCATGTTTCCTCCCCTTTGCTTAATGGAATCCTGAGAGGGAGGCCCAGCTGAGGGTCAGGCTTCTCCTGCCCACAGGGCAGGTGGCCCAAGAATGGCATCCCAGGTTTGCCATTGCCACAAACCTGGTCTAATCCAGAATGCAACTGCCACAGCCCCTGCACAACGTATCCCATCCTGGCTGTGCTGTCACTCTCTAAACCTCCACTTTCTCAGGGGGGACGATCCTGTTAGGGAGACTGAGCAAATGAAGCTGCCACCCTGCAGCCCAGGTTCGGCAGACGTGAGTGGCATTGCTGTTGACGTTGTTTATAATCAAAGATGGCCTCTTTCAGTGTTGTGAGGTCTCAGGGAGGGGAGGTGGCTGGACCTTGGTGGGCTGCTCCAGTGGGATGTGCTGGTCAGCGCTTCAGGCCAGTGGTGCCCATGGGTATCTTTGAGTGGGACAGCAGGCAGGAGCAGGGGTGGAGATCAAAATGACATAGTAATCCAGAATTCGACAGTGGTTTCCCTCCCTGATCAGACTTTTTCAAACTATAGTCTGAGGGACCTCCAAGCAGGCTGGAACATCAGGGGACACGGGGCCCTCCAAGAGGACAGCACGTGCTGGAGTCTGCCAGCCCTGGCTGGATGCATTGGGGACCTTTGCTCAGTTCTGTCCAGTGATTCCAAATTTACTAAGCGTGATGGAAAATGTATGGCTTGCAGGCCAGACTCACGTATGCAAGAAATGTCAACTTTATAAACAAATTTAATTTCTCCTTTGTTCCCATTGTGCCAAGTGGCAGAAGCTTCAGCTCAGGCAGTTCAGATCCATTCCCCCCTTCCCTGGGGCTTAGAGCAGTTAAGGTGGCAGTAATCTGGTCCTCACTGTTGTCACCAAGATGTCCTCATCCTGTGGTTCTGTGGATGGATGGCTGCTGAGCTGACTTTCACACCTCCCCCAGTCATTGCTCTGCCCCTTATATGCTTAGGTATAATTCGGTGAATCCATTAGGAAATGCATTTGGCCGAGCATAACAATGGCCCTCCAACCGCCGGTCTACGGAATAGGAATTTTTTTTCTTATTTGACAAAAAGTCCAGAACTTCTTAGTGGTAGAGCACTCTACCACTGAGCCCCGAGTTTGATCCCAATACTGGGAAAAAAAAAAAAAAGAACATGAGGCTTCCATGATGTCATCAATCATTCATGTCCCAATAACCTTCAGGGCTTTTGCCTTTCTACATTCTACCTCATGGCCACTGGATGACTGCTACAGCTCCAGACATTCTAGGTAACAAAAAGGAAGAGTCAAAAAGGGCATGTGAAAGCTGAACAGGTTCCTTTTAAAGAGCTTTCTTGGAAGTTCCATCTAGTGACTTCGGCTTTGCATTCTTTGACCATGTTGTAGGACCACCCTTGGCTGCAAAGGAGGCTGGGAAATACAGTCTTTTTAGCTGGGCACACAGATGCCCAAGAAGAATCAAGGTTCTGTTAGGAAGACAGTGAGATCGGGTACTGAAGTAGCAGCCAGTGTTTCAGTTAGATGTGGGATAGGAAGGTGTTCGCTGATTAACATAAGAAGTAAAGAGTTAAGTTGGAGTTCAATCATTCAGCAGTTGCTGAATACCTGCCATGTGCCAGGCACCGTGATGAGTTTTGGGAAGGTCCAGCGTCTATATAGATTAAACGAATGCATTGTCACAACACTAGGAAGTCCCTGTGAAATATCTGATACAGGGCCTAACACTGACAGGGGAGCCAGGGAAGCTCTCCTTCAGAAGTGACACTGAGGCCAAGGAAGGTGTCCTGAAGTTTACACCGAGGCCAAGGAAGGTGTCCTGGTGTGGAGGGGGGATGGTGTCGAGTCACAGCCAGGGCGACAGTCAGGGTCCAGGAAGGTTCCTCCTGCAACTGTGGCACTGAGGCAGGGTTGCATGCCCGGCTCCGGTCCATCAGTGATGACCCCCTTGTTATAGGTGAATTGAAGACCATGGTGAGGCTCATTTTCTATAATAAACACCACTTACAGAAGAAGGAACGAGTCAGATGATCAGTATCTAAAATGGAACCAAACATGGACTCAGTCCAGTCCTATAAGTTCTTCCTGAAAACCCATGTACCAGGCCATGGGGGCCTCCGGGGCATGGGGAGGAGGTGGGAGAAGTAGCTCTGGTCTCAAGAAACACTGGGAGGCTCCAGGGAGGCACGAGGAGCCAGCCATCCACTGGATCCACCGTGACCACCCCAACAGGGAGGACACGGCCAGGCGATGTACCGCACCCCTGAGGTTGGAAAAGAGAGCGCTGTCGAAAAGGGCTCTGTCATCCGATAGTCAGGAAAACGCTGAATTAAATGAAGCTAAATACAGCAGCTCAACTAGAAGACTTCTCCAAGAAAGAGTAGATGTTCAGTAATTCCTAAATTTAAATTACAGATGGGAAGTTTTGTGTGTGTGTGTGTGTGTGTGTGTGTGTGTGTGTGTGTGTGTGTACTGAGCATTTAACTCAGGTCTTCCTCACTTTGGACAAGTGCTCTACTTCTGGAGCCACACCCCCAGTCCTTTTGCTATTAGTTTGTTTTTTAGATAGGGTCTCATACTTTTTTTTTCTTTTTCTTTTGTGGTACTGGGGTTTGAACTCAGGGCGTACATCTTGAGCCATTCCACCAGCCCTTTTTTTTTTTAAATTTAGTTTTTATTTTTTTATTATTCATATGTGCATACAAGGCTTGGGTCATTTCTCCCCCCTGCCCCCACCCCCTCCCTTACCACCCACTCCGCCCCCTCCCTCTCCCCCCCACCCCCTCAATACCCAGCAGAAACTATTTTGCTCTTATCTCTAATTTTGTTGAAGAGAGAGTATAAGCAATAATAGGAAGGAACAAGGGTTTTTGCTGGTTGAGATAAGGATAGCTATACAGGGAGTTGACTCACATTGATTTCCTGTGCATGTGTGTTACCTTCTAGGTTAATTCTTTTTGATCTAACCTTTTCTCTAGTTCCTGGTCCCCTTCTCCTATTGGACTCAGTTGCTTTTACCACCAGCCCTTTTTATGTGAAGGGTTTTTTCCAAGATAGGGTCTCCCAAACTGTTTGCCTGGTCTGGCTTCGAACAGTGATCCTCCTGACTTCTGCCTCCTGAGTAGCTAGGATTACAGGCGTAAGACACTGGGGCCCAGCTTTTTTTTTCTTTTGGCTGTACTGGGGCTTGAATTCAGGGCCTCATGCTTGCCCTACCACTTGAACCACTCCACTAGCCCTTCACACTTTTCTTTGAGGGACATTTTCTTCTAAACCTTCCTTAGATTCATTGATGCAACCATTTCCCAATGTTATTTAAAACTCTTCGCAAACATCCTTTTACAATGGCTGAACAATACATAGAAACCATAGCCTATGTTCTTACTTGTCTTTTTCCCATGTCTAGTTTTGCTTTCTGCATTTGTTTTTCTGCCTATAGGAATGGGGAGCAAATTCTTACGTTTCTTCAGGGCAGCTCTTGTGGTGAATACCTAGGTTCCTTGCTCTTCTGGGCCAGTAACAACCCAGAACCCTGCCTCCCCCGAGGGCTGCTGACTAGGTCACCACGGCAACCACAGGAGTCAGGGAGGGAAAAGATGCTCATGAGATGGGACTAGACAAGGAGGCCCAGGACCAGGCAGCGAGGAGCCTGGGGCACTGAGGCCAACTGGACCTGACCACTGGTTTCCTTATGGCTCTGGAGAGAGTTGGGCTACCAGGGGTCTCAGCAAAAAGCCTCCTTTTTATCCTTGACTGTGGCTATGGGCAAAGGCCAGGTGGGGAAGACAAGCAGTGGGGGTTGTGTCACCCTCATTTCTGCCTCAGGGTGTGCTCATGTCTCTGAAGTTTCTTCAATGTGTTGCCACTGGATGGAGCATTTTCTTCTAAAAATTTCTCAATTTCGTTGAATTCTAGGTT